AGATTAGGAGAGTGTAGGGTCCCAGAAACCAGGAGGAGAAGGTGTTTGAAAGAAAGACCCAAAAGAAGGTTGTTCGTATCAGAGAAGTTAACAAGTGAAATGAGACGTGTGACTGCTGGCTGAGACAAGATGGAGTAGTGGGGACAGGTATGTAGAATAACTCAAGTGGGAATGGGAAGAGGAGCAGAGACAGTATCTTTTTCAAGGAGTTCTACAAATAAAGGGCAGCTGAGAATGGCAAGTCTGCTGCATGAGGAACAGATTTGTAAGAGTTTTATCTGCTTTTAAGATGGAAGCAATAAATAATGTCCTTATAGGAACAACCCAGGAAACAGGGCAAAGCAACTGATGATCAATGTCCGTGAGTTGATAAGAAGGGGTGAGATCTAGTGCCCCAGAGGAGGGGTTGTCTTTGGAAAAGAATCCATTGAGGTCATCAGCTGAAAGTAAACATAGAGGAGGTGGCATTAGGAGGAGGAAGATGGAAGGTTTGTATGGATGTATATTAATGCAGTATTACAAATTCATAATTTAAAATCATGATTATTTTGAAACCAAACTTATAAAAGCTACATATTTTAGTTAAAAATATTCTAAGTGTAAGGAAAATGATAATGTTTCTTTAATAACAACTCTTATTAGTTCCAGATTGATTTTAATCTCTCTCTCTTTCTTTTTTCTTTTCTTTTTTGAGACAAGGTCATGCTATATAGTTCAGGATGGTTTAGAGCTCATTATATAGCCTAGGCTGGCCTGGAACTCAAGGCAATTCTCCTGCCTCAGCCTCCCACCACGCCTGATTTAAATTTATCTTTGTAAAATCCATTATCATTTTATCCACATTTTATTTTTCTTATCTTCATGGAACAAACTGCTACAAATGGGTAGAAAATCAGCTCATTACAGGTGGGGTATAGTGGTGCATGCCTGTAATCACAGCACTCAGGGGACTGTGGCAAGAGGATCCACATGAGTTCAAAGCCAGCCTCAACTGCACTGTGAGAGTTGGTCTTAAAAACAAACAAACAAACAAAAAAATGTCAGCCTGTTAAGTATTCACGTATAAATTGATGTATTTTGGCCAGCTAATGTGTGTGTTCAAATCTATGCTTGGCTATCTTAAAAATGACCCAATTTGGCAAATTACAAAACATATTTTTTTGCATGTATGACTTTAAAAGCCTACATATTTTTGATAAATTTTCTTTAAAGCATTTGCATTTAGAAGTATACTTAAAAAAGAATAATCTGTTTTTATTTGGGCATAAAGTTTTTTTTCTGATAGGATAGTAAGAGTTTTGAGATTTTGAAGGAAAACTTCTCTTGAGCTTAATAACAGCTCAATTAAATTCTGTATCTGCAAATATTTTGTGTTGTTGATCAGCAAGACTGGAGTTGTTGGAATTTGGGAAGTTGGAGGTTAAGAAGTGCTAAATCACTAGTTTCATTATTCTGGATGTATGGAAAGAGAGAAATACATTTATTTATTTGGTTTTTTGTTTATCTACTTTTTAAGAGAAGAATTTATTATAAGGCAGAAAGTTTCTACCCGAGAAGGACAGAAGAGACCTGGAATGTAGGTTGCCCTATTTGTTTGTTAGAGTTTGATTTAATTAATTTTTTTTTTTGAGACAGGGTTTTACTATGCAGCCCAGGCTGGCCTCCAAGTCATTACCATCCTCCTCTTCCTTCTGCCTTAGCCTCCCAGTGCTGGGAATATAGGTGTGTGCCACTACATCTGACCCTGAGGTGCATTTATTTTTGTCAGCATTTCTTAAACCTTGCTACAAGCTTATTTTGAGTTCTTATATTCTGTAAGAGGTCTGCAATCTGCTCCAGTGTAAGTCAGAGAATAGCCTGTGCTGGCTGAAAAGGTGAGTTTGCTGTCATAAGTTTTTAACCCATGAGTGCTGTAATTTCTTGTTTGTTTGTTTTGTTTTTTGAGACGGGTTTCACTGTGTAGTCCAGGCTGGCCTCAAACTCAGTGACCCTGCTGTCTCACTTCCCAAGCGTTGGAAATCAGGCCTGCGCTACTGTGCCCAGCTGAGTGGTATGATTTCAGGAATGATGCTGGACTCCTCTGGGTCCATTTCTAGTTTCAAAGATTAAATATGCAAAGTGCTAACTAAGCACAGTTCTCAACATTCAATAAATGCCTTGCTCATCCTAGGATTCAGAATATGCAGGAGTCTAGTTTATATGACTCCAATTTGTCTTAGGTGGAACCACTTCTTTGCTCACAAGGCAGTCTTGGCACATGTCTCGAACTCCACAGACAAAGTTGTTAGGATGCTCAGTTGACATGGGGTGCTGGCCATAGAGGCCTACATTGTTTCTAACTGACACTTAGAGAAAGGCCATGTACACTGCTGTTGGTCCCACTCAGCACAGAAGCCCCTGCTTCCTGCCCTGGGCCCCCAGGTCCTGTCTCACTGCTACCCGACACTGTCTATGTCTTGAAAGCTCCAGAAATTTTATTCCGTATTCTATGCAGTCTGAGTCTGTCTGCCTGTTTCTTTGGTTTCATGGTCCTTTTTGCCTACACTGGCACTAAGATTATCTGAACCGGTATGCATACATTCATGCTTTAGTAGTATAATACCGTAAATGACAAAGCATAGAATGACATGTAAGTGGTGACAAGTTGACGGGCACACAGAGCAGCCTCTGCAGGTGGAGAGAGGATGACAAAACTACTTTGAGGCCAGGCACCAATCTTGGGCTCACAGTTCCTTTTTCCACAAATAACTTAATACTATAAAAGAACTGGGTCTTACATTATGTAGCAATATCCCTTACCTCTAAAAATATTAAACTTTATTAGAAGAACTCCAGAGAGTCATAGTAGTGTACTTGGGAGGCTGAGGCAAGATCATCAAAAGTTTGAGGCCAGCCTGGGCTGCATAGTGAGTTCAAGGCCAGCCTGAACTACAAAGTGAGACCTTGTCTCAAAAACACTGAGAGAGAGAGAGAGAGAGAGAGAGAGAGAGAGAGAGAGAGAGAGAGAGAGAGAAGAGAAAGAAAGAGATAGAGGAAAGGGAGGGAGCGGGAGTGAGAGAAAGAGGGAGGGAGGGAAGGAGAGGGAGAGTTAGAGAGACCCCCTTCTTTTCTCCCTTACCAGTTCAGAATTAGGTCTATTCACACTTAGTGCCAAACAGATCTTCAGAAGATTTTTCATCTTGAAAATCTGAACCCTAGTTCATTAAACAGCTTCCCAATTCTTTCTTCCCCCATGCCTTGATAACTTTATATTCTACTGTCTAATTCTCCTGTGTTTACCGAGTTACCCTGTCCTTCAGAGTATGGAATTGTCAAACTTAGACTAGTAGTTCTCAGATAGTCTATGTGACACAGTTTATGTTCTGTCAGATGACTTAGCTATTTATTATTTAAAACAATTTACCTTCCTCAATTCATGTTAGCATAAATTACACAAATAAAAAAACTCATCTTTAGACCTGAAAAATACTAGAACTCAATCAGCAGAAGCTGACAAAGAATCTTCTTTTATCATTTATATTCATTATCTACCTTTAAAATTGCTTTCTTTAAAATGCCTTCAATTTTAATTTTTTAACTTGTCATATTTCAGGCCTCTAGCAATACTACCATCAATTTTAAAGTCTAGATATTCAAAAAATTTCATGCTTGTTAAGTGGCAACATTATCTTTGCTAGAATAAAAATGCTAACCCTTTACTTATTTGTATGATGGGATTCCGGATGTAAAAGCTTTTTTTTTTTTTTTTTTTCTTTTTGGGGCAGGGTCTCGGGCTATGCAGTTCATGTTGGCCTTGAACTCACTTTGCAGCCTACACTCATCTTGAACTTGCTTGCAATGATCCTCCTGCCTCAGCCTAGTGAGTGCTGTGATTACAGGCCTGTGCCACCATGTCTGGCTGTAACAGCTTTCTTTTTCTTTCTTTTTTTTGTGGGGGAGGGGGTACCAGGGATTCAACTTACAACCTTGTGCTTACCAGGCAAGCCCTTGTGCCGCTGAGCTAAATCCCTGGGCCCTGTAATAGCTTTCTTAATTTTTAAAATTATCTGAAATTTAGTTATACCCCTTTATAAAGAAAAAGTTCTAATCTTATAAAAATGTGATGTTGACTGCTAAATTCCTGAATGTGAAGTTGTTTGTGTAGAAAGGCAGAAATCGCTTTATATTTTGGTATGTGTTAGTCTTCCTTTCTCCCTTCATCCAATAAACAGTTACCTAGTGTCTCTCTTAGTCAACCACACTACTTGGCACTATTTTTTAAAGTACTCTGTGACTATATGTGGATCTAACTTAAAATAAATTCTGAATGAATTATCTTATTTTCCAAGCCTGTTTCTTCCTCTTAGTACATGGAATCGATATTTACCTGGTTGCCTCTAGACAGAAATCACAAGATCCTCTGCAATTCTTTCTCCCCTTCATCTGCCACAACAGAGTAAACACTACTTATGAAACCAGACTTTGATCAGCCCACTTATCCCTGACAGCCTTTACCTTGACTCGGATCTAGAATCCTGCCGTGGCTTCCTATCTCATCTTCCCACATGTTCTGTTCTCTTTCAGCAGCCTTTGCTCATTCTAAGATACAGATCATATTGATGTACTTTGTTTGACAGGTTGAATTTGACTTCCTCAACCATGGCAAAATGTTTCTGAAGATACTAGACTTTCTGCCTTTACCAGGCACATTAGCCACATCCAGAACAGTACCTCTGAGAAGCTCAGAGAACCCACTTGACCAGGCATCTGGATCCCCCAAGAGTCATAAAACGAACCCTTATTTAGTATACAATTCTGAGCATTTTAGGTATAATAACTCTTCTTACAAAATTGACAATAATAATTATTGTTACCATTTACTGGGAGCCTCATTTACATTCAGGCATGTTGTATCAGTAGTTACCTTGAAAACTACCTTCAGAGTAGGAACAAGTGGCTTCAGGAGAGGAAACAGACTTCTCAGAGGCTTCAGGCTTGCCTCAGGCTGCTTAACCATGTAGGAAGAAACAAGGTCCAATCAGCCGGCTCTGTCTGCCCTGCTCTTCACTCTTCCCCGAGCCTCCCCGACTGCACGGTGCCCTGCCCACAGTGGTGACCTACGCGGAAACTGAAGTATTGTGGTAAAGTCAGACGGGCTGTTCTGACCTGTTATTTGGATGGAAACAGGGTGAAGCTAGGTGGACTGAATGTGGCTGCTTTGGTTTTAAGTCCATGTCTGGGGACAGCAGCCTGAGAACTGGGGTACTGACTTAGGACCTTGGGAACATTTCTGACATCTCATTTACTTAAAGCTTTATTACCATGGCTTATGTGACTGGGGGAGGGGAGCCAATACGCTGGGGAGTTTCAGAAAGCTTCTTTGGCTCAGAACGTCTGAAGGAAAAACTGTCACTCGCAGGGTTTGATTAACCACAAGACTGGTATTGTAAGAGGAAGTAGGCTGAAAAAAATCTGCAACCTTGGCCTGTCATATGCTTAGTTTGTTAAAGAAAATGACTGAAGGCACACGTTATTTCTTTAAATGGAAAAAACCCAAGCGGAAAAAGCCCCAGAATGTTTTGTCTGAATAAGTTCTCCCAGTAGATGTCAAGGCCTGATGCAAGGTCTTTGGGTTGTGGCTGTGAATGGGGAAAGGAAGTACACACCTATGTGCTTGAGAAAGGAAGACGGCTTTATTGCCATGTCCCTTCATCCTTGGGTCCCAAAGAGGAAAGAGGCAGGAAGGGAGCTCAGCGGGCCTGGCACACTGTCACCAGTGCTAAGAGGAGCAAAGGGGGAGCTGGGAGATCTGCTTGGCCACTGACAGTTGGCAGAAGCATCTCTGTCCTATCAAGGAGCAGACAGTGCTTCTTCAGTAGTAGTGGTAGTGGTAGTAATGGTGGGGTGGCCTTAGGCAGCTGGAAGGCCTGGCCCTGTAGCCTCGGGCTGCCCTGAAGTGAAGATCAAGGCTTCCTCTTTTAGGATACCAATTAAGTAGTTTTGACTCTCCGTGCTACCAGCGGCCAACTCCCCACTTCATTTCAACCTACCCCACAGGCTGTTCCAACAACACTGATATTACCTTAGTAGTTTGTTTTATATATTTGTGATCAGACCCTACAATAATCTAACCTTTAGTCTTTATCTTCAGGCCCAGATCCCTTTATTTTCTAGGTGCTTTGTCTTTGGAGTTTATTTTAGTTCCTGTTGTAGCGAGGGTAACTCCACAAGCTCCTCTTCTAATAAGATTTTGGAACTATCTGTTGGCTAATAGCCCATTAAAAGCAAAGTCCTTTCCAACCCTGGCAGTAATAGCTGACTCTGATGCCAGCACACTTATCTCTAGCTTCAGTTGGATGAGTCTGTCAAAGTCCCTGGCCATTGGGAGCCAAGCTACTTATGGGGAAAGCAGACTCTGGCTAAACCATTTAGTCACTATTTATGATTCTAGGGCACAGAATAGTAGAAATAGAGCAGAACCCTGACTATATTCAGCTTTGTTTCTTTTTCAAATACTACAAGGTCAACCCTTTAAAAACCTAGGGTTTTTTAAATGAGCAATTCATATATGAGAGGCTGAAGAAAACAGAAGAAACTTTTCCCATGTCTCAGCAAGCTGAAGGGATGCCTTGAGGGTATGGTCGTTCTCATTTTTACCTCTTCTCTCCCTCTATCTTTCTTCTTCCCTGTTTGTTTCTTGTCTCTTTTTCATAAATAACAATCAAAAAAACTATTGGCTAAATTAGTTTAAGGTTACAATATCTACATAGAACGTCAATGACAAGAAAAATGATTAGGGAGCTAACTGAGTTATGATGTTCAGATTCTTTCATGGGAAGCATCACTGCATATACAGAATTCATTGCTAAATTAGAAACAACTGTATGTAGCCTTGTCTGTTGAAGTCAGCTTATTTGCAGAAAATGAGGTAGGCAAATTTGGAGGAGCAATTAGGAGCCATTCAAAGCCTTTACTTTTAGATGCATGACCTGCAGGTAGTGACGGTTACAGATAGTAAGAATCTAGGACCAGGAATAAATTCAGTGTCCTACACACCTCAAGAACACATGCATGTCTACGAACCTGACCAGCAGTTACACAGTCACACGGCCACAGAGACCAGATATGAAAAGTCAGTGGGTAAACAAGCAGGGTTTGTTCTTGGCATATAACACTGCACGATAAACGTGGACAATCAGTCTTTCATTGTTTAAGGCATGGCACATTTTTGGTTGAAATTCTTAAAACCTCTCATGACATCTCTTGTTTTGATACTTTTCATAAGTACATGGTAAAAGAGACTTTTCTCTAAGGAGACAAACAAAGCGAAAAGAATGGTGGTACAAAATGAACATCAGTACTCAGCCAGTGTTGGAGACAAAGAGGCAGCATGAGGATGGTGGCAAACTGGAAAACTCATGTGCGACATAAAGGAGCAGCGGCAGCTCTGCTCTAGAGGGTTACAGGACGAGGAAATATGGCTCCATGTTATCAGACAATATGTTTTGAGAAGAAAAAGCTGTAGAGACAGATTTTTTGAGATATATCCTGATTTCTAAACATTGGTTCAACACACATGCACAAAACAAACAAGCACCAGGTAAACCAGACAACTTTGCCCCTTCACAGTTACTGGCTTATCCTTCTGCTAGACAGGAAAGGAGTTAAATTTGTGCAAATATCTGGAAATCAGGGACTATATAGAACCAAGATGAAATTGGGGCATTGGGACAAAGAGAGGCAAGCAGCAAGGACTACAGAATCTACAAAAGGGCCATAACTGAGAGAATTCTGAAATCACTTTTGCCTCAGGAACAGACTCTTTCTTTTAGTTGAAGCAAAAACAAGCAATGGTTTCCCGGGCAACATCCTGTCAGACACAGCCTGGAAGCTCACATGGCTCTGCAATGCAGCATCATAACTCTGGCCTGGTTTGCCAGAGTCATTCCCAATCCAGGAAGAAAGCTGACATGGCCAGTTTGCTCCCCACAGTGGCAAATTTTAACCCTTCTACTAATCATGAGAAATTCTCATTCCTTATCTTTGTGGCACATTGAAATCAACTTATCCAATCCTGGATGCTTCCTAAGTATCCTTTAGGTGTTGTTTTTATTAGCTTGTGGTCCTTATGATGAATATGATAACTGGATGTTTGTGACACCTACCTATTGATAGGATACTTGATCTGAATGGCTTTTAATATTTCTTTACAATACAGCAGAACTTAATAGTTCAAACTTACACATATAATTCCTGAAAGCTGAACTTGAAAATATTTGCTACTTGTTACTCAGGAGGCTGAAGGAGGAAGATTGTTGAACCTAACAGTTTATGGCTAGCCTGTCTCAAAGCAATAAAAATGCCAATAAAATATGCTTTCTGTGTTAAGGAATAGTTTAAAAAATTGTATATATGGAAAGATCAATAACCATACTATCACACACCCATATACACAAAAAACCCATACTATCTATAACTTTGAAAAAGCCTCCTGCAGGGATCCAGGTTGACAGGATCACAGCCCTCTTGATAATAACCACCATTTGCCTGCCTAGTGACACTGGCACATATCCCAAACTATAGGACACAAAAAGCTGTTAAGATAGCCAGTTGCTGAGAGTGTTGTGCTGGCCACAAGGCCCCAGACTATTTCTTAAGTGACACCTGGCATGTAATAGTGTTTGAGAAAGGACAGATACATATACTTGCTTCTCATTTAGCATGGAAATTACTTTCTGCTGCCTTTGAGCAAAAAAAAAGCATCCAGTCTTGTTGCCCAAAACATGCTTCTCTTCTCCCTCCTCCCTCACTCTCCTTTTGTTCCTCCCCTTCTCTCTCTCTCTCTCTCTCTCTCTCTCTCTGTCTCTTCTTTTCTTTTTCTCTTTCTTTCCTGGCTTTGAACTCACTATATGTATAGCTTAGACTGGTCTCGAACTTTTGGTGACCCTCCTACCTGAGGCTCTCCAGTGCTGGGGTTACAGGCATGTGGCATCACACCTGATACTTTTGTCTATAAATTCCTAATAAATTGCAGTTTTGTATAATTCTGTATCTGACTGCCTTTTCCACTGGTTTCTGGTGACCAGTTCTCATACACCAGGATGAGGTTTTCCCAAAACACCTTGCAAATAACTTGAAACAAATCTCTATTTTGTTTTTTAGAACACTAAGGAAATAGAATTTAAACTAATAATTGTGACTTTCAATCTATATCATTCATGTCCCTTTAAAATTCTCATTTATTATTTTACTATTTACTCTCTAATCATCTGAACTGAAAAGATTAGTTATTGGTCAGGGGAATGCTGTAGGCATGTTGCATCCTGTTATAAGACATTTGGTAAAGCCTGTCATTATAGCCTTAGCATTATACCAAGGTGAAGATGGAGGTACTCACATGGGACAGATAAAATTACAGTTCAGTGTGATCATAGCCCTCTACATTCAACTCTTACTTAGCAAGTATTTATTGAACTTTTATTGTGGACTGGCACTGCCTTAGGTTCCATGAGTAGAGAAGGGCACTGACTAAAATAGAGATTTTAAGAGCATGTATATACGTCATTTTCAAAAGAAGATAAATGTAGCCTTGGATGGAGAAGAGATTGTAAACTCAGTGGAAGTAGACAATGTAGTATTAAAATACTAAATAATAAAATAATTTTGAAATTTCATAGATAAAACATGTTATGTCTTTATATATGATGATATACCAAAATATATTAATATTCTGTTTTAGAACTGCTTTAGGTTTACAGAAAAACTGAGCACAAAGTTCTAACATACCCTTCCTCCTCTCCCTGGAATCCCCCTTATTAACATTCTGTAGTAATGTGGTGCATTTGTTACAACTGCTGAACCAATGCTGAAGTATTATTGAAGTCCATAGTTTATAATACGGTTACTGTTTGTGTTTTGTGGATTCTGACAAATGTATAATGCCACACATCCATTCTACAGAGCAGTTCCATTCCTTGTGGATCTATCCTCCACATACTCATCACACTTTCCTCCCCAAGACATCCTGGCAACCATTGCAAGTTTTACTAAGGTTTGCCTTTTCTGGAGTGTCTTGTAACTGTGATCACATACTGTCCAGATGGGCCCTGATACTCTATAGCTCAACTTAAACTTTTTCACC